TGGGTGGAGTTGGGCCAGGCGGGTCCTGAAGGCCGCTTCTCCTCATAACCAGTTTTTGCGTTTGGAGATCCGTTGAATGAAGTATTGAGAGCAACACGCGCCCTCTCTATATTCTATGTATAACCTCTTGATATCCTGACAACATCCTCTCGAGACGAGGGTCTTTGGTTTAATTTCCATGCTTTCTTTTTCAAATTTGAGTGTTTACATGTGCTTAGAGACTGATCAAAGGCTGTAAATTCACGGTTCGTATTGTCATTTGTAGTTTTAGTTTCATGTTTACTTTTATCTACAAATATCAAGAAATGAATGTATGAGGAAAAATGTTTTTAACTGATGTTTGAAATAACCATTCAATGCTTAAACGTTTTTCGATTATATATTCACAGGACCTTAATATCACGATAAAACGTTCGAAACATTAGGCAGGGAAATGTTAGGAGTCTAAACATATAATGTGATAATAATGAGGAAGAACATCCAGGCCGGTCATCCAATCTTATCAAAGCATATGAACACCATTATCTCCAGATAGTGTGGTGATAATAACAATGATCAAATAATTTAGGTTTCCCTGGTTGGAATACCTTATTGTGGCGCACATTGTTGTTTTAGTGCTTGGTATTTATTGAGATCGTCTCGTTGCCTCTACTTTCAACGCCTGACAATGCTCAACCCGGTTGCTATTTTGGGAGCCAATTTTTCAGCAATTGAAGGTCTTGAGCTTGTCAAGATGCCCAGTCAATGACTAAGCAAACTTATACCAGACTCTTCACGCGTTCTCAGTGCGTTCTTAAAACCTGTTTGTTGATGCCTAAATTTGCAATTTCGGTTATTTGTAAAGTTGAATCATAAGATTAATATTAGAGAATTGCTCAAAATTTGAGCAATTCTTGCTCAAATTGCTTGCTTAATTTGAGCATTATACCTTAGAATTGTTATATTTTATAAGTAATAATCATATTTGTTACCCTCATATTGGCAGTATTGAGCTATTTTCTGTAATTTTTATATGAGGGCATTTGCTTTTCAGCAGTATATGAAAACTGATCTTAAAATTGTTATGAATACGACTGGGAAAGATATGATATACGATATAAATCTTAATTCCTGTGACAAATTCGTTAGTTATACTGTAACGTTATACCTTTCTGCCGTCATAATAGTAGACGGCAGAAAGAGTCGTCATTGGTGGGGGGGGGGGGGGGGGGGGAACTGAAAATACGAATTTTTTGATCTTTGAGCACCTTTGGGCTTAGGATTGAACACAATAAATGTTCAATTCACCTTCAAGCACCATCTGGCGAGAGGCAGGATACAAGCACCACCTGGCGAGACGCAGGCTACAAGCACCACCTGACGAGACGCAGGATACAAGCACCACCTGGCGAGACGCAGGCTACAAGCACCACCTGGCGAGACGCAGGCTACAAGCACCACCTGGCAAGACGCAGGCTACAAGCACCACCTGGCGAGACGCAGGCTACAAGCACCACCTGGCGAAACGCAGGCTACAAGCACCACCTGGCAAGACGCAGGCTACAAGCACCAGGCATTTACGTGAAGGTGCAGACTATGTCCATGCCACTGGTGTTGCAACTCTGCCGCTGATGTTAACAACAACTTGCTGCAACACCCACACATCAGCAAGGCGAACATTGCAAGCGTGCAGATCGAGCAGCGGTACACACACAACTGCTGTTGCAAGTGGAAACTCAACAGCAAGGAGGTCCGGGTGAGACAATTGCCAGTGCTTCATTTAATCTCAAACTTCACCTTCCACCCACAACGTATTAATAGTTCTTATTAAATAACAATAACAAGGTTAAAGCCATTGTAAACTAAGAAGAAAATGTATCGTATAAAAATATTAATGGGGGAATATAATTTGATCATTATATCGTGCCTGAGGCAGAACGATCTTGTTGCCTCTCCGCAGTTTCTATTATCGTGCATAAGGTACAGTATAATGGGGTGAACAATAAATTAAATTGTTGCTCAGTAAATTTATGCACATTGTTGTGTTAAAACGTGTACTCTCCAACCTCCCTATGACACTTGGCATAGTCACATCACCCTTCAAAATTTGGTGAGGCTAGCCCCAACCATTTTGCCCTCAATCTCGAACAAATAGACGAACATTCTCTCCTATGGATATAGATACACAATTAATAATATTACAGCATCTACCTACCTGATTTTTTAGTCTGAGAATCAATGTTTTTTTCTGGCCCAGGCTCTGACCAAGCCTCCTGGTTGGTGGTCTGGTGAACCAGGCCATTGGATGCTGCTGCTCGAAGCCTAACGTATGAATCACAGCCTAGTTAATCAGGTATCCTTTGGAGGGGTTTATCAAGTTCTCTTGAACACCTTGAGAGGTCGGTTCGTTATGACATTTATATATAAAGAGAGAGTGTTAAAGTCTTGGGCCCTTGATATTAGTAGAATTTTCTCTCAGCGTATCTGTTGCACCTGTTTTTCAACAGAGCTATTTTACACTTACTGTCTAAAAATAATTTATATAAAGAGTACAAGGGTACTTCTTGGTTATTATCTTGTGAGGGGTGGAGAAAATTGCTTGCTTACTCTGTTAATCCCAAGTGCGGCGCTAGTGATGCCATTACTCAAAAAAAAAGTTTATGTACTAATTTATTTGACTTATTTAATTAACACTTGACACAAATTAATTCCCAGATGATCTCTTCATTGGTATGAGTAAAAACTTCGATCACGGTTATCCCAATAAGCAAATTCTAAACTTAAAATCATAGTCAGGCATCCCACATTTGTCTGTTATAGATAATGCACACGGATGTTAGCAAGCTTGCTTGTACTGCCTGTAGGTCTCTTACTTTCTTATCTTATAACAAAGTACCTCGCCATATTGCATGTTAACTACAGTAATTAATATAAATAGATTACTACCCCATTTAACTCAATTACATATTAAGACAAAAGCTATTACTAATGCACCTCAAATGCAACTTGTTTAGCATATAGAATTCTGGGGTTCAGTTCCTAAGCCCATTAATGTGCCCCTCTTAACTTTTCCTCTGCAGCTCACAGGGTATCGGTATACATAATGAACTATACTAAAGCAATATTAGACCTCTTTTGAACTATATTCAATTGTTAAATCCAATAATATGTAGTAATACATAGTCATCAAAGACATTATTAAAGCATCAAATATAAAGATATAATCTCTCCTATTAACCACATTTAAAGCTACTGCAAGCTTGCAGCATATTATATAGGAACTCTCCTGCCTATATCTATGAAATCTAATGTTGGTGTGTCCATAATAGAAGGCCAGACACTTGGGCTTACGTCACCCAACTTTACAAGATGGCACATGTGGGATAGGAGAGTCGGCCGGAGTCCCACCCTGTAAGAAATATTATCATCTACCTGTTGTGTACATGTTGTTGGTTCCATGGTTCAATGTTCCCATGGCTAGGCCTCCTTGTTTGTTTTCTTGAACTAGGCGGTTGGACACAGTTGCTCACAGGTTAATTTTGTTTATATTTCGTATAAATCACAGCCTGCAGTTTTCACAAGTATGAAATGTGGCATACCTTTTCCGTAGAGTTGTTTTATTACATTTTCCATTAATTCAAATCAAAATCAAATCAGATGTTTATTCAAGCAAGAGTACATACATACAAATTGAATTACAGCCATAGTGTTGGATTTCTTGAAAGAGCTAGTACATACTATACCTAAAACCACTAATACGTACAGCGTTTCGGGCAGGGTGAGGGGAAAAACACTGACTAAAACTTAATACTAATTGAGATCAAATCATAAATTGAGTTGAAAAAGGTAAAAAGGGAGTGAAAACAAACATGGAAATCAGCAGGTATGCAAGTTAGTCAACAAACAGTATTGTTTGAAAATAGCAAGACATGGGTTGACATTTAGGGGGGTAAGGTAGGTTACATGGAGTTTGTGATTGGGAAGGTCATTCCACATTCTGGGTCTGATTTGCAGAGCATTTCTAGTTTGGTTAAGTTGCACTCTTGGAATATCAAATAGGTATTTGTTTCTGGTGTGGTGCTCATGGGTTCTGTTACAACCTTCTAGGAGGCATTACAGTACAGAGTTTTAAATATATGGAGTACACTTGAGAGGATGTGCAGTGACTTGCTTACTTGCAATTCGTAATGTTAAATTTTCAATTTAAGTCAATTCAGTGACTTGTAATTCATAATGTTAAATTTTCTTAAGAGGGCAAGAGATCTTGAGGGAAAGGGGGGAAGAGTGGGAGAAAGGTAGAGAGGTGGCAGATAGGGGAAAAGAAAAATAAGAGGTGGATGTGGGGGAGACTCGGGCACAGACGGGTACACGAACTAGTTTCATTTATTAATCAATTAGTGCATATCAATGACTTACCATATGCGACTAACCTTAACTTTATACTATCCCCTCATCTTCTCAAACCCAACCCCACCCACACCCTAGAACTAGATCATACAGTAAACAATGAACCAACAGTTTAAGTCAACCAGTTTAAGTTAAAAACGAAGCTATACCTAATAAATTCCCTGTAACCTACCTTACCCCTCTGTTGTCAACCCATGTATGTTTTTTTTTTTTCAAATCAACGCTGTTTGAATGTAATTTTCTGTAATAATTTGTAATTGTATTTGTGCTGCTTTTTCAACAATGTTCCCCCCTCTTTTACCTCTATTTTTATTTGTACTCAACACATTTTATTCTTTTTACCCATTAGTTTTAAGCTTTAGTCATTAGTGTTTTTTCCTGCCCGAAACGCTTTGCGTAATAGTGGCTTTAGGCATTGTATGTACTAGCTCTATCTATAAAGCCAACAAACATTGTAAAATCTCTTTATGTATGTACCTTTACCTAAATAAAAATTATTATTATTATTATTATTATTACATACTTCCTGCGCTGGTTTCCTGGTTTTCATCGAGGCAGTTACTGGCGCTCAGGTAAATTCAGGAAAATATTTAATATGTGTGTGCCCTGTACAGGTCAATGCGGCCAGTGGCTGAGACGGGAGAGTTATCGCGGCTGAGATTCAAGATGTACTCTGTATATGCATGGGGATGTCCTATTGTGGTGTCCCTGGTCGCCTTCACCATCCAGGCTCTCCCGGAACACATTGAACTCATCAGGCCAGGTTTTGGCAACAAGAAATGCTGGTTTCAAAGTAAGTGACAAGTCCTTTAAGGTGGTAATCTGTGTTGCACTCCTGGTAGTGGTGAGTGTGTCACTCCTCATGGTAAGGTGTATTAACCCTGGTGGTGGTGAGTATGTTTCACTCCTAATAGTGGTGAGAGTGAGTTGTGTTGTTCCCCCTGGTGGTGGCAAGAGTATCACTTCTCATGGTGAGCCAAGTTGCTCCCCTCGTGGTGAGCCGAGTTGTTCACCTCGTGGTGAGCCAAGTTGCTCCTCTCGTGGTGAGCCAAGTTGCTCCTCTCGTGGTGAGCCAAGTTGCTCCCCTCGTGGTGAGCCTAGTAGCTCCCCTCGTGGTGAGCCTAGTAGCTCCCCTCGTGGTGAGCCAAGTTGCTTCCCTCATGGTGGTAAGAGTCAGGTTCACGCATCCTGGTGTTGAGAATGAGTGTTTCACAACTGGTGATAGTGAGAGGGATTGTCACTTCCCAGTTGGTGGTGATGAGAGTGAACTGTGTTGCATCCCTGGTGATGGTGAGAATGTACATGGCTGTAGTACACAACTTGTCATGAAGATAGTGAGCCATGTCCCTGGTTGAAGTGATAATGTTGTATCATTGATGGTGTAAGGGCGAGTGTTGCCTACCAGTTGAAACAAAAGCATTTACAACAAGGTACACTTGTTATTGTGTTTAATCATTGATTTTGAAGATTGCTTCTTTGATGGTGTGATAGTGTGGGATAAAATCCACTATCTTGTATCTTGATTATAGTGATGCAATAATGATGTAAAATGTTGTTTATACAGTGTATTGATGTGATAGTATTGTTGAACATTGATTACCTAGTATCTTTGTGATAGTAATATCACATGTTGATCACAAAGTATCTTGATGTGATGATGACACTAAATGACAATTTAGTGTTACCGTAGTGTGATAATCATCAATGTGATACACACACAATAATAAAAATAACAATTATACTGTAATAAGTTCTACAGAACTTATTGTACAGTACAGTAATGCATATATTTATATTAACATTGTGTGTCTGCAGATGACAAATCGCTTTGGGCGTACTTCTATGGGTTTGTACTGGTGCTGGTGGTGGCGAACGTCATCTTCTTTGCCCAGGTAGCATACATTCTCCTGGTGGCTCAGAACGACCCCATCCTGCAGCGCACCCGTGCCCAGAACAGAGAGAGGTCAGTCCATGTCAGCACCATCAGGTAAAGAATAGCAGCATGATTTGTAAATAAATAATGTAAGCTATGGAAAAGATAATCCCTACTATCTGAAGAGCATTACAAATATTCTTAAAGTTTTCATATCAGAATTTGGATAATTTTTGTTTATAAATTATCCTTAGAGCTTTCAGATATTTGGGACACTTTTTAGATATTTGGGTTCAAATGCGAATTTTTGTCAGAGATAAACTTTACAATTTTTCAGCAACAGTAAAAATGTATTAATTATATTTTTTATGATTTTTGTACCTAACTATAAGCAAATACATGTTCTATCGTTTGTGCTAACACTTAAAAAAAATCAAGATTATAAAATAATGAAAGATAAAATGAAGACAGTCCAATCTCAATCCTTTAAAATGCTGTACAGCAAACTGAGACATCATGTCTTATTAACCAATCAATGGACAGAGAGGGATGGGGCCGTGAGCAAACATTTATAAGGGACACACTGCCATGGTAAGGGCATGATCAGATCATGTTGCTATGAGAATGGCCCTGCATGCTAAGCCCTAAACCATGCAAGTAACTACTGAAAGTACTACCCGTAAGATATAGTCTCCACATTCAATCCCAGAAATTTTTCAGTATGTGATCAACCATGTTTTACAAAGAAAATACATTAGACTTTATAACTTTGTTGCAAACATATAATAGTCATATTAGTACAGTGTATAGCTACAATTAAATTAATTTGGAAAAAGTAATAAGTACATTCTCATATAGTCACTAATATATATAGCCTTCCAGCTGTCTAAGCACTAATTTAATAATTGAAACATACATTGAGAATTTACTGAACAAGAAAAAAGTTACAATACATGACAGGTCCAATTACAATACTGTGGCATTAATCAGGAATCCTGGGTTCGAATCCCAGGTGAAACAGAAATGGTTGGGCATATTTCCAATCACTTAATGACTCTGTTCACATAGCAGTAAATAGGTACCCAGGAGTTAGTCAGCTTGTGGGGGTTCCATCCTGGGAATGATCAGCAGTTCAGAGATGTTTTAAGTACCCTGAAACATTTGAAAGTCTTGTGGGTTCCCAATCAGTGCCTGAGGCTTCCAGTAAACATGTGCCATCTTGAAAAAATCGATGGTAGGCCACTGTAGCCTCACAGAGGAGTTAAAGATCCATGCACTACCTAGGGCAGTGCATTCTACAAAGTAGTATGAAGTCTTGGGAGCAAACTTCTGAATTCACCAGAAAAGTCACTCTGTCAGAGCAGGGGCAATACCAAACAAGCACCTAGGAAAGGGTTGCCCTAAACATGCAGCTTAAGGCAAATTAGAAACCAAATCCACACAATAGTGGAGCATGAAAACACATTCAAATGAAGCAAACACTGAATTTGGAAATAATACACAAAGCAAATGGCCCCCACAGAACAAAGTCCATAGGGTGGCTCACACTTATCTTGGGGAGCAAAAATGGGTTCGCTAAAGCTAGTTGTTGGTGACCCAAGGAGGTCCACACTCATGGACACTAGTGACAGGACTAAGGATATGGTGACATGGAAGTTGGGAGCTCCCTGCGGTCCCACCACCTTTGGTCCCACTGGGACCAAAGGCCAAAGCTCATCTCCCACAAGCACAGCCAGGCGAGTACCTATCGGTGGCCAGCTGTAACTATTGGATGGTTCGATCTATCTACTGAGTGAATTGTTTGCAGAGACATTTGCTGCTTTAGTTCTTTTTTTTTTCTCTGAACCAACTGTCTGTATTGCTTTGCTTACTTTCTACATGTTTTCTTTGTGAAAGTGATTGTACAATCCCCTTGCTTCCTTTGCCACTGTGAGGAAGGTGGGGCCAGGTTCTGACTTTGGTTGCCAGTAGGCAATTCCGGATTTCTAAAGCTGATGTGACTTGTCTGTGTGGAGCCATCTCAGCAAGCTAGCTTCAGGGAGCCACTGAGGCCCTACCAGAAAAAGGAGTTTCATTACACTTAATATTTTTTTTATTTTTTTTTTTAATTTTGACTATGGCAATTGATATTCAGTTTATTGTCAATGTAATTACGAAGTACTGTATTTCCAATCTATTCTGCTCTCAATTTGGTTACTGTTAATTCTTAGTTCAGTTTCATTGGTCGACATGTTTCCAAACAATATGTAATGCATTTATTCAGTGTTAAGGGTGAGTTTGTTAATAGTCATCCACAAGTGGACTTCTTCTTTTGTAGTTAAGTATTTGCTGTGTCAGAATAAGTGGGTTAGCATTTGACAAAATTAAGGTTATGTCATCAGCAAATAGAATTTGCATCAGGTGTTGCGTGGCATTTGGTTGATCATTGATATAAACGAGAAAAAGGAGTTGGCCAAGTATACTACCCTGTGGAACACCGGTGTTAACTGACAGAGTGGAAGAAGTAACATCTTTCACAGAAACATAGTGGTGCTTGTCACTATGGTAAGATCACAAGTATTGAAGGGAGTGACCTCTGACTAAAGAGTGTTGCAGTATGAGAAGAAGGTTAAGTCAAAAGCCTTATGCAGGTTAACAAATAAACCTTCAGGGTACTAAATTTCTGCCAAGAGCTGCATGTATCAAGTGAAGCATCTGTCTGCATCCAACCTGTGTTCCCAATTAGTATGTCTCATTTTGTCCCCGATGTACAAATTACAAAATACTGTACTGTACTACGAAAAGTAGTAGTTCACAAAAATCTAATTTTTCTATGCATCGGTAGATTAGGTTTGGTGGGTTGCTTGGGTTTATACGTTTCTGGTTAGATTAGCACAAGTTTTGTATTATTTCTGTAAGCTTACCACTTTTATGGACTGGGATTATTCTAGTCTAGCCTTAAGAATAACTATATATACAATATTCTAGTTAGGTTACAGTGTCAGAGTAATTATGAGATTGCGTTACATCATTGCCGGCTGGTATGGTCAGGCTAGAGGCAGAGTTCTTTGTGGTGATATTGTTGTAGGAGCTACAATGAAGTTGGTAAGAGGTTGAGAGGAGTCTGACTCCTTGTTGTGTTGGATTCAGACTGATTTGGCATGGCAGTTTGCTGCCTTATATAACCATCTGCAGCTGCTACCCAGACAGTCACTTGTCCTCTAATACAAGCTGAAATCACCACAATACCTGTATTTTTAGTTTATGTAGTGGAAGTGAGTTTTGTACTTTGTGCAATACAGGGCTGTGAGAGGAATGAACATGATGCTTGTAACAGCCATAAGAACCATGCAGGATCTCTCTACATGTGGGGACATGCTTCAGGTAAATTCAGGTACTGGTAGTACTAGTTGAACACAAATTACAATGATAGGTGTGAACCTGTTAATCTAAGGAATTGTGTCTAAAATACTTTACTGTATAATGAAACTGCAGCACCTAGTATTCCAACAAACTTGCTTCATTTTGCCCTTTATTTGAGTTGAAAGATATCAGTATACTACTACTGTATAAAGAAAAACAGAGCACACGTTATGTATGCTTATGTTACATTATGTTATGCTTATGTTATGTCAGTGCTTATGTTAATTCTGCCTTGTGTACATTATGTTATGCTTATGCTATGTCAGTGCTTATGTTAATTCTGCCTTGTGTACTTGCAGGATGTGGCTCTATATTAAGCTGTTTCTAGTGATGGGTCTCACATGGCTCACCGAGGTAATCTCTTGGCAGGAGGGGACATGCGAGGCCTGGTTAGTATCTCTTATTTACACCTGTATCCGGTACCTCTGTTGAACGTCTAACTCTTCTGTTAGGCAAATAATCTCAATATGAAAACAGCATTTAAATTCATACACAGCACAACAGATTTAATCAAACAGGATATAAAAATTTTAAAGATACTAAAATTAAATATACTTTGCACTGTACATTTTTATGTCGGGCGTTCCGTGAGCCAGGAACCAGTTCCCATAAATCTGGAACCATTCGTTTTGTGATTGCTCATTGGATAACTATTTACATTTGTTTATAAATTACTGAATAATGATGGAGACATTGACTACATTATGTTAATACAATTAATTAATACAAAGCAACCCATTTCACGATTTCGTCCTATGACTCCAGACTTATTTGATATCCTGTATAATCTCTGGTAAACTTGTTAACCACACACTTGGTAAACTAGTTAAATACACACTCGATAAACTAGTTATCCACACACTTGGTAAACTAGTTAACCACATACTCAGTAAACTTGTTAACCACACACTCGCTAAACTAGTTAACCACACTTACCCCTCTTGCTTAGTCATGCATGTTGTGGTTGACCGTGCCCTCACCTGTGTACTGTATAATAACACAGCACTGTACTTTCTTTGCAGGATGATCACCGACATCGTCAATACTCTCCAGGGCTTCTCAATCTTCCTCATTTTCATTTGCAAGAGGAATATGCTGCGAAGAGTAAGTTTGCGTTGGCCTTATTATCATACTCTTGTATTACATTTGAATCTCCAATAAGTCTAATTAACAAAGCTGTTTATTAATTTGTTTATTAACAATGAATCTTGCATGATACAGTACAAGAGATCTAATTATTTTATTATGTAGTTTAACTGAATTTATCTGAGGGCCACCATTTTGTCCTGAGGGTCAGGATGCTGGGGGCTTGTCAGAGGGCCACTCATTTTTCCTGATGATTTTATCCAGCTAGATTTTGAACTGCAGCAATGTTCTGGCATTTATGGCTTTTGATGGGTAGTGGGTCCATGGATTTTTTTTTATATTTTATTATTCATATATACAAGAGTTCTTACATTCTTGTACAGCCACTAGCACGCATAGTGTTTCAGGCAAGTACTTAATTATAATCAGATAGATAAAAAAGCATCTTGTGTTTTCTTTCCTACATTATGTCTTGTCGTATTTGAAACCGTTGTTCCTTGTTTGTGTTACAGCTGACCTTTTAAAGAAGTGGTATGAAGGATAAGGGATCTTTTGAAGAAGTGGTCTTGATCAGTATCCTCTAAATTTATTATTTTTAAAAGTTTTGATGAGATCAGCCCTGTCATGTCAAGTTTGCAGTGGCTCAAATCCTGTGGCCCTCAGCTGACTTGGTTCAGGAATGATTTTTGTCACCCGATGCTAAAATTTCTCCAAAACAGATATGTTCTTCTGAAGATGAGGTCTCAATGCAATGATTTGTCTGGTATTCCCCAAGTTATTCTTATTAATAACCTATTTCTCTCCTCTTTCTTTTTTAAATGATCTTCAGTCTATCTGCTATCTTGTATTATCTACCCATCATTTGTTTTGCTTTTTTCCAGATCTATTTTTCAATTACATGCAATCCAGTAATAGAAATGAACTAATAATTTAAATGCTTTGTTCTTAACTCATAATTGGGGGTCCCGGGTTGAATTCCCAGAGGGGCAGAAATGGTTGGACACATTTCCTTGCACCTTATACCTCTGTTCACCCAGCAGTAATCAGGTACCTGGGAGTTGGGCAGTTATTGTGGGGTTGCATCCTGGGGAGGGTCATTAAGACCACTATTCTAAATAAATAAGACAAACACATTACTGTACTAGCATGCTTTGCTATCATACAGATCCGCAACAACTGGGAGCCATATTTGCGTCGTGTGAAAGAATTCTTTGGCTCATCCCGTCCAACAAAGTCTGCAACGGGCAAAGGTAGCCAGGAGAGTTCATCTTTCAGCTCTTCTGTGAACCGGCCAAGCCATTCTGCAGCATCTCAGAGGACAGTCCAGAGTCAGATCTCACTTGATCCAACTTCTGCTTCAAGGTCAGTTCATGTGAGAAAACTTAGGCCTGGATGCAAGAATATTTGTACAGTTGGTGCATTAAGGTCATGAAACCCACAGGACTATTGTGTTCTGGTATTATAAATTTATAGGTTTAGAGCACAAGTAGCAGTGAGGTAGCCATTTGATCACAAGAGCCAGTGAGGTAGCCATTTGAGCACAAGGAGCAGTGAGGTAGCCATTTGAGTACAAGTAGCAGTGAGGTAGCCATTTGAGCACAAGAAGCAGTGAGGTAGCCATTTGAGCACAAGTAACAGTGAGGTAGCCATTTGAGCACAAGTAACAGTGAGGTAGCCATTTGAGTACAAGTAGCAGTGAGGTAGCCATTTGAGCATAAGTAGCAGTGAGGTAACCATTTGAGCACAAGGAGCAGTGAGGTAGCCATTTGAGCACAAATAGCAGTGCTCAAAGTATCAACTAGATAGTTGATACATTGTAAAGAGCTGGAGGAGGAGGAGAGGCCACAGCTTATATTTTTGTTCTTCGATTTTAAATAAAACTTTTGTTTCAAACTCCTTGAATATATGAAATCTTTTAGTGACATATTATAGTTTAGTGTAATGATGTTTTACACAGATTTAATTTGAGTTCAAAGAACCCATCTATTATTGTATTTATTTATTTATTTATTTATTTATTTATGCATATACAAGAATGTACATAAGGAATGTGAGGATACAAATATGGTAATTACAGTCTTGTAAAGCCACTAGCACGCGCAGCGTTTCGGGCAGGTCCTTAATCTAAGAAAATTTTAAGGAAGTAAATACTTGCAAAATTTATAGACAAAAAAATGATAACAGATTACATGGAATGAAAAAAATGAAGATGAGAGAAAATTATAGGTACAGTATATTAAAGCACATAGGTAGCTATGATTGATTGCAATGACAGCTTAAAATGGTAGTTGACAACAAATTGGTAGGCACAATACAGCAGAAACAATATAAGATTGATTGCAATGACAGCTTGGATGGTAGTTGACAAAAATTGGTAGTCACAATACAGCATATGGCTAGCACATAAAAGAAGACAGCAATGAACACAATTATAAGGTTGTTTGATATTACATAAAAATTAGGAGATTGGGTAACACTAGGTACAGAGCAAATTTAAAGCTCAGTGTAGGAAACTAAATAGATGAAGTTAGGTACTTTTGGTTTTGCTTTTAAATAAGGCAAAAGTTTTACAGTTTTTCAATTCACTAGGGAGTGAGTTCCATAGACTAGGTCCCTTAATTTGCATAGAGTGTTTACACAGATTAAGTTTGACCCTGGGGATATCAAAGAGATATTTATTTCTGGTGTGATAATGGGTCCTATTACATCTGTCCAGGGAGAGTTTCAGAGCATGGTTTGCATTTAAGAACAGGGTTTTGTAAATGTAGTTGACACAAGAGAATGTGTGGAGGGAGTTAATATTTAGCAAGTTTAGGGATTTAAACAAGGGAGCTGAGTGTTGTCTGAAAGCAGAGTTAGTTATTATTCTGATAGTAGATTTTTGCTGTGTGATGATGGGCTTAAGGTGGTTTGCAGTGGTAGACCCCCATGCACAGATACCATAATTAAGATAGGGGTAGATTAGTGCATAATATTGTGAGAGGAGAGCAGAGTTAGGAACATAATATCTGATTTTGGAGAGTATACCAACTGTCTTAGAGACTTTCTTAGTTATGTGTTGAATGTGGGTGCTGAAGTTGAGTCTCTTGTCTAGGAATAGGCCAAGAAACTTGCCATCATTTTTATTACTGATGTTAATGTTGTCTATCTGTAGCTGAATTGCATTTGATGATTTGCTTCCAAATAAGATGTAGTAAGTCTTTTCGATGTTTAATGTTAGTTTGTTCGTTGACATCCATAAGTGGACTTTTTTTAATTCATTATTCACAACATTATTTAGTGTATGTGGGTTGAGGTTTGAGTAGATAAGGGTAGTATCGTCAGCAAACAATATAGATTTGAGAATATTAGAGACATTAGGCAGATCGTTTATATATATAAGAAATAGAAGAGGTCCTAAGATGCTGCCCTGTGGCACTCCAACGGTAATTGGTAGAGTGGAAGAAGTTCTATCATTGATGGTTACATATTGGTGTCTGTCACTAAGATAGGATCGGATGATTGTAGAAATGCTTTACATCTACAATACTGCATACATAAAATAAGAAAAGCTGCAGTTAAGTATAATTATAGATTCCTTCTATATCATGCCTTATTCATCTTGATATACATTTATTAATAACAGTATAAACATAATGTACTTTCTTGAATCATAGACATGACGGTATGATTCCTTGATATTGCTATTCATGTTTACATCCTCTTAAGTGAATGATTGTTACAGAAAGTTGTCATCATCATCACTAGTATCTACCACCGGAGTCCAAGTACACTCTCCCAACTCAATTTCAATGGACACGATAAATGAAGTTTCGAGCCCTGAAGGTGAACAAGCTGAAAAAAACAATGGACTTAATGGACACAGTGTTAGTTTATCTCGTGTGCCAAATCCTGCGAATATGAAAGAAAGTACTTTCAGCGTGACTGGTAGTCAGTATATACCAAAGAGTGCGTTAAACACAAATGGTGAACAGACAGGCAGCGATCACCTGCCAGACAACAATAATGAACCATCACTAACAACTGCCGAAAAGGTTGCATCCTTAAGAACACCAAATGAAGTTAACACAAGACAGGTAAATCATGAAACACCTGCACCAATAGGAAAAATTGACAGTGAAGTGCGTTGCAAAAATGCAGAGGAAGTTACATCAGTGAGAAACACTGACAGTGAAGTGATTTTGGAAAGTGCCGAAGAAATTTCACCACCGAGAAACTTTGTCAGTGAAATGCCTTCCAAAATTGATAAGGAAGTTACACAGCTGACAGAAAGTGAAAATTCTTCACAGAACAAAAAATTTGTGAATGCTCCTCCAGAAAATACTAATGAAAATAATATTGTAAGGACCCAAGAACAAAGTGAAGTGTTTGGAATAAGTAATGGGTCAGTGTTGCCAAGACACCACCGAGCATTTACGACAGAGGATGAAGATGATCAGCCTGTAGATGTGTGACACGTGTTCATGTTTGAATTCTGCTGCAAGTTTTATAATTAGTGAGAAACACTATTTGACAGAAAATATATATACAATTCCATATAAAGAGTACCACTGTATTTACAGTATAGCATTTATTACTATGCACTCGGTTGAAAACATCCACAATTAGACAAGCATGTTGGGAATTTACCCTTTGCTGTTCACAGGCGTGCATAGCAGTGAAACTAATGGTGCACACTGCGTGTTTTAACATGAATCACATGGCATAAATCACTGCAGTGACAATTAAGTGATCTATCAGTGCTGGTGAAAGATATACTTCCTGATGAGTGCAGGCATCCAGCCTTTATGAATCTCACTGATTCATATCGTCTTTTAAATTATCAGTTATATTTTTAAAGAAATGTAGTCTGTTTAATGGAAATATATTATATTCAAGAAATTAGTAATTAGTAAAAACACTATACAGTATAGTACTGAAAACTATTTTGCATGCTGTTGTGTGCTAGAACATCACTGATGATTGTGTTACCATTATGTGTTAAATGTGGGATTGTTATTTATGTAATAAGATGCTGTAAAGTTGTTGATGAATGTAGCAAGCCATTAGAAGCTACAGTATAAAACAATTGCAAATATATATTTCTCTTAAGGCAAATATTTTACTTGACTGAATTTAATTCCTACAAAAAGGGCAAAATAAGTGTCCATCAAGATAATGTAAGCATAATTTAGTGAAATCTTTTGTTACATCATGTGAAATTATGGTAATTTAATCTGAAATGAGGCTAAATACAATCTGTGGATAGTAATGTATGATAAATCATGCTTGCATGGAAGAGCTTCACATGAATTTTTGACAGGCTATATTACCAGAACAACAAACTAATGTAGCACTTGTATATTGAAAGCTTTATTTGTAATTGTAAGGTTAAGAGCACAAGTATGAAGTTTATATGTCTTGTTGCCCAAGATATTTATCTTTGACATGCATGCAGTTTTAACTATTGTGCATTCTTGTAAATACTGTAATTTTTGTGGTTTGTGTACACTAAGCAAACTTGCAATTTTAGATACATCTCCTCAGATACTATCAATGTGCACTCCTCCCCGTTACCTCGGATACACTTGACATGCCCTATCTCTTCAGATACTACCTACATACACTTTTCCCTATCACCTCAGATACTATTGCCATGCTTTTCTCCCCATCACCTCAGATACTGTAACCATGATCTTCTCGCCCATCACCTCATACTATTAACATATACTTCTTCTCATCACTTCAAACACTTGTTGACACTCACTTCTAATCTGGGGCATTCCTCTTCTCATAATCCCCCCCCCCCTCCTCTCCTTGCGTCCTGCTGACACACCTCACACATCTCCAGAAGACAAACACCTCATGTCTTGGCCAGTGACTTGTGAGACTAGAGAGGTATAGTCGACATCTCTTCTGGTGATGGCATTTATGTGGGTTGTATAACCTGTATAGCAAGCTCTTTAATCATAAACAAAATGAAAAAGAGTACACAAATATATGTGGTGGGAGTACACATCTGTCTTCTGATCTATGAAGGTAAGAGATACCTAAATTATAAGACAATTTTTTTTATATAAACATGAAATGATAATGTACAGTACAGTACAATTTGAAATACTGTATTAAATAGATAATATTTGGTAAATACTAATGTATAAGACAGGAAGCCAACATTATAGAAAGGCATTACAGTATAAAATATTAGAGTAATTCTGCATGAACCAAAACAGTATTAGCTGAACTAAATTACAACTACAGAATATACCTGTAAGTTGTTGAAACTGAATATATCTTTGTCATAAACAAATCATATGCTGTGTAAGATTTTATTATACTCAATGTGCATGTACAGTGTATGTGTTTTTTATTGGTTATATTGCTTAATCGTAAACAAATGTACTTTCACAACTCATTGTACCTTCTTGTAAATAAATAAATGAGCCCATCTTTGTGAAATAATAATAATAATAATAATAATTCATTGTGTCGGGGGACAGGCATGCGGTCTTTATACTCCAGAAATTACTGATCCTGGGGGTTAAGGGGGGGGGGGACTTTGATATAAGCCTAACATTATATAATAAATGTATGTCAGATTGCAATGCTATGATTGTTTTTACTAAAGCTCTGTAGAACCATTCAGTAAATTCTTGTGTAGCAGTTATTTCTGCAGGTATGCTACTGTACATTGTATTATTGTGTGACAGCCCCTTGATTATACCAAGAAAATCAGGATAAATAACGCTAGGAATAGCATCCAGTTTCATGTCGACCATTGTTTATAGGTCTCTGTACAGTCTTGACACCATACTCCCTTCCTGAAGCTTCCCATCAGGATATTGTCACTGAGGAAGGTTCTCTCCAAGAGCCTTTATCACCACACACAAACCTTTCATTCTCAAGCTCGCTAATCTCTTCCCTACTCTTATTTCATATACTTTATTCTTTATTTATTTAACACTGCCTCTTGTGTATATAAAACTTATTACCTCTTATTAGTGTTTCCCTCATTTTTATCTTAGCCTTGCCATTCTATAGAGATCTATAAAATCCTCAACTTCCCATTCAATTCCATCAAATACTGTAACTTTATTGTTATTTACATTGACATTTATCTATATTCACACACTATCAAAGTTATTTATGATCATTTACAATTCCTCCTCACTCTAAGCAAAGAATACTACATTCACCTGAATTCCTCCTCACATGTAAATAACATATTATCTTGACTACTTTCCTAATATATATCCATATACAATATATTAAAGAACCAGGAAACTTTGGTGAAGCAAGTTGTGTATATCATCCATCAAAGAGTGGATTAATGATCTATATTCTCATACTCTGGATTTTGTAGTAAAAACCAAAATAAATAAATACAAATGATGAAGAAAAAGAATGAATGTAAAAGTTTGAGCATGCAATATTTGAATACAATATTAATAATAATGACTATAAAAATGATTTGCACACTATGGTCAATCTGGAGACAAAACCTGGTGTGCTAAAGTGCTGATGAAGCTTAGTGGAGACCTTAATACACACTGAACTGCTCTACGTGTAATATCCAAATGTACTTTGTTTCTGCACTAAACTGCTCCTTTTAATAATTACTTACTTCTGCACTAGACAAAGTGTGTGTGCAATAAGTGTGGAATCTTATTGGCATAACCATTGTACTGTATATTACTTAAGATAATGAACCCGAGTCTTGAATTTTGTTGGTGTTGCAAAATAATTTACATGATTTGCGTGGGTGAATTTAGTGCACTTTACATTTTTATCCTGGAGTTACTTGATAGGCGAGCCACAGATGATGAAGTACCAAGGTCGTGTGATGATCCAAACACAGATTTCTGTACAAGATTTCTGTACAAGCATTTCCAAACAGTTTTTGTGTTAATTATTCCTAGTGTCTGATGTAGTGTTCTAAAAGTGCATATACATATTGTACATGATCATCATATCCCCAGCATTATAATCAGCTCCTGACTCAGAATTTAGAAGGCATTCAAAGTACAGTACTGTATCTTAATCATAACTACGCTGTTGGCTTTTCAGCCTCCCCATCTTTTACTTCCCTCATTTACTATCCGTCAAGTAAGTATATAATTTCAGAATTGGTTTTGTTTTGTTCATCTCACAGTACAGTACTGTATCTTCTCATATAGTTTGGCTTCAGTATTTATAATGCAAATTTCTTTAATTTTTGTAAACTTTACACTTTTTAACATAGACAATGGGTTCATCTCTTATTTTCCGATTCTTAATACAAAATATTTTTCTCTAAAACCTTCAATATCGGTCTGATCACTATCCTTAGAACTCGAACTAGATGTGTCCAAATATTTATCTATTAATTTTTAAAGGTTGTTTATTGTAAATGGCCCCATAACCAAGCTCTAGTCCATATTCCTGTATTATTGTGGAGACCTGATATATTTCCTTAATGGAACCCTCCTGATTATTGAAATGTTTAGCAGTTTGTTATAGTATTGTTTCAGGGTGTTTATTATGTCTTGATCATGCAATTGTATTTGCACAGCTGTTGTACTGTATTATGTCACTGACTATACAGCTGTATAGTTAGCTAACAACCAATTGTCCTGGGTTCGCTTTCCATGCAAGACAAGATGTTGAAGGACATTTTCTTATGCCTAATGCCAATAAGTACCTGGGAATTAGATAATTGTTGAGGTTTGCATCCTGGAAATGACCAATCATAGGCCTAGGGAGGTCTTGACAAGCCTAACTGCCTTCCTGTCTCCAATAATAGGAGACTAAGTTTGTCTCATCAGCATTATAAATTTGTCTGGATGATAAGTTCTGATCAATCACTATACTCCTGAAATCTGTCCACACACTTAACTGCACCAGCATCATTGGTTGACTGCCTTTCTTGTGCCTATTGTTATTCCAAACTATGAAATTCCCTTTCCTTCTTCATGAGCAACCATCTTGCCACTGTTAATTTAATTTTTTTCACAGTTCTCTTACCATTCTCACACTGCATCATCAAAATGTTTTACTTTAGCCTTGCTGCTTTTCTGTTGTGAATGGATTAATCTCTTTCATTTCGAGCATAATAATCAAAGATCTTAACATTAGCATTCTTTCGTCTCAAAAATCATCTCAGTACATTTCCTTTTCAATTCACTCTTAGCTTGATTGGCAAAATACAATATTTGTATTTTTACAATACAATATTTGTATTTTTAGCCAACATAGTGCATAGAAAAGCAATGCTAGGTCAGTGTACATGTGGGGTTCAAGTGCACATGAGCACCTATCATGTGTATCTATCACACCTTAAGATAGAAAACAGGAAAACTAGGCCTCTCTGTGTCTGGCTGCATACCTTATTCAACTCAATATGTACTCGGACAACTTCAACCAGACATATTAATGGGAAACATGTTAAACCTTGAAACTGACGTCTGGAAATAGTGTAGTCGACTGTACAGTATATATATAATATTGTATATACTATTAATGCATATAAACCTTGTTGATGAAATTAGATATGCAGGAGACCTTGTAAACCTATTTTTTATTTCCAAAAGAATTTAAAAGAATAACACACTCATATATATGTTGTAAATTGTTTTACATGTATTTGTCACCAATCATTTAGTTGTATAATTATTTTAATTAAGTATTGTGTCAGTATCATACGTGTAATGTTAATAAATATTGGATGTAATTTATATGACATGTGAAATAAATATTGTGCCATAATCCATTGTTAGTTACTATACCTCGGTGAATTTACCCGAGGTCCACTAACACCTGTGGCCTCGACGAGGACAGGAAGCCAGCGGCTTGTCACAACTCGGTGTTATAACTATCTATGTGGTCTCCAGAACCCAGTGTTATTATTATTTCAGAGATCCCCATAACCCAAAATTGTAACTACTGTACCTAAGCTTCGATGTACAATACTGTATAGCATAAATATACCAAGTTATAGTATAATGTAATAATACATCTGGCAATCAAAGATCTTATGTTTGAAGCAGAAGAGAATGGATTAATGAAAATCCTCATTACATGCAAAATAATCAGGAAGAGCATTGACAAAGAAATCGAAAGTTCCAAGTGTGAATGGAATTCCATCCAAAATCCTATTGATCTACATTTAAACAATAAAAAAAGCTTCCATATTTTTGTTTACATTAGGTAATTTGCCAGACTCGCATAAATAGGCCATTTACCTGGATAATAATCGTTCTTGGCCTCGGACCACTCGGAACATCTCTTCCCTCGTCACTGCTCTACCCGTCATCTTGCGCTCGACACACATCCCTGAGTACAGCTTCACTCCGGCCCTGCAGTATTGTCTCACAAATTACTTTTTACCATACTGTTGTAATTCATTGAGAAAATGTATTAGTATGTTTTTTTTTTTATTAAAATTAGGTATGCACAGCAATGTTCTGCTACCCTGTTCTATATGAGATATTACAGAGTGTAGATAAAAAACTAGCTATAGGTTCAACTCAGTACCGAGGGGGCTGGGACTGAGGGTCCCCCAAGGGGGCTGGGACTGAGAGTCCCTGCGGGGTTAGGACTGAGGGTCCCCGAGGGGGCTGGGACTGAGGATCCCGAGGGGACTGGGACTGAGGGTCCCTGAGGGGGCTGGGACTGAGGGTCCCTGTGGGGCTAGGACTGAGGGTCCCTGCAGGGCTAGGACTGAGGGTCCCTGCAGGGCTAGGACTGAGGGTCCCCGAGGGGGCTGGGACTGAGGGTCCCTGCGGGGCTAGGACTGAGGGTCCCCAAGGGGGCTGGGACTGAGGGTCCCCGAGGGGGCTGGGACTGAGGGTCCCCCCGAGGGGGCTGGGACTGAGGGTCCCCCCGAGGGGGCTGGGACTGAGGGTCCCCCCGAGGGGGCTGGGACTGTGGATCCTGAGGGGGCTGGGACTGAGGGTCCCCGAGGGGGCTGGGACTGAGGGTCCCCGAGGGGGCTGGGACTGAGGGTCCCCGAGGGGGCTGGGACTGAGGGTCCCCGAGGGGGCTGGGACTGAGGGTCCCCCTGGGACTGTGGATCCTGAGGGGGCTGGGACTGAGGGTCCCCGAGGGGGGGACTGAGGGTCCCCGAGGGGGCCCCCCGAGGGGGCTGGGACTGAGGATCCCCCCGAGGGGGCTGGGACTGAGGGTCCCCCCGAGGGGGCTGGGACTTGGGACTGAGGGTCCCCGAGGGGGCTGGGACTGAGGGTCCCCGAGGGGCCCGTCAAAGCGTTATATGACAAAGAGTGCTGGGAAGACGGGACACCACGAGCGTAGCTCTCATCCTGTAACTATGTTCCGAACCTTAATGGAATCTGACCCATATATCAATCAGGTCAACCCATGTGTTGCGTTTCCAAAAGGGTCGCCCATGTTAGAATCGGTGAACGCCCTAGCAATATTGTTGAAAACATCTTAATAACTTATTAAACCAAAGGTCTTTTCATGTCAGAAGAACGGCAGAAACTGGATCTATATATGAAAACTCTTTCAGGACAAAATTTAAAGTAAAACTAAAGATATTTGTAGTTGTATAAAAGTTGCATTTTTCATCGGTCGTAGAGCCGGAAATCCGCAATATTCATCTCAGAACAATGCTTATTTCACGCAGAATCGTTAATAAACATAAGATTTTTATACGTCTCAAGAAAGATAGAAACATAATCTTCATTTTAAATGCCTTACCATGGGCATATTTGTATTTAAAGCGAAGATACGTGTATTTTTCTAATCGGCGAGCTCCGATCCCGCACAGATCGAGCAACGGAGTAACTCTCTCAGAACAATGCTTATTTCACGTAAATTCGTTAATAAACGCAAATGTTTTTATATGTGTTGAGAAAGATAGAAATATAAGCTTCATTTTAAATACTTTACCATAGATATATATAAAGTTCTAATGAAGATACATGTGTTTTAATAATCGCCGAGCTCCGACCCCGCACAGACTGATCGACAGAGCAACTCTCTCTCAGAACAATGCTTATTTCACGTAAATTCATTAATAAACACATATGTTTTATATGTCTCAAGAAAGATAGAAATATAAGCTTCATTTTAAATACTTTAACATAGACATATATAAAGCTCAAGTGAAGATACATACGTTTTTATAGTGGCATTCAGTAGCTTGTCGGTCATGGAATGCAGAAGCCTACGCACTTGCCAATATAGTGTGTAATTAACAAAGATACGCTTATAAAGCCTAAAATATTATATGCCTTCAGAAAGACAGAGATATGCTCGTTATTGTGAGTGCACCAAAGGAAATATATCTTGTTGGAGGACAAAGATATATCAATTCTAAAATAAGTTTCGACTCTCGCTCGGGCGAGAGATAGCGCGACTCTCGCCCCATCTATTGGAGATTCTGTTCACCTAATGACCCAAAGCTACTCAAAGCCTCCTAGCATTACTTAAATAATGAAGAAATATGGTATATTTATTCACTATAATGTTGGTGCTTAATGCAGAACACGAGAAAACATATATTTACTATAAAATAATATACTTCCATTATGAAATAAGTAAATATGTGGCCTCATAGGAAGTCAACGGTCCAGGTGTCAATGTTGTGGAGCGACTTATCCAAGATATATTGTTGTCTGGAAAGTGTTTGTTGGCATATCAACCTTCTGTACACAGTGATCCAGTCGTCGCACTTCTCTCCTTAAATGATCGCAAATTTAGTTTATTATATTAACAAGTAGAATACGTATTTCTAATAATATCTAACATAACTAGCCAGAAAATATTTAAGACTTATTGAAAAATACATGTCTGGAAGTTAAATCGACTTCATAGAACAATAGTGTTGGTCTATACTAATCGTTATTCGTTAGTATGCGTTCGCTACTTAAAACATTTACTGTACTGATGTAAAATCTCCCATGTCTCTTCGCACATGGAACACCGAACCTTACACACTCTCTGATATATTGTTTAATTAATAGAGATTCACTAATAAAGCTTATAATTGTATATGTTATCAAAAAGGCATAGATAAAGTCGTTCTTACGTTTTAGTCACAGAGATTAGATATTAGTAAAGTAAAGTTCATTTTATTCAGGAAAGTACATAAATAGTCGATTTACAAACATAATATTGGATTTATAGATAGAGCTAATACCTATTGATGAGAACTACAACCTAATGAAGATAAATGTTAATTTTATGTAGATACTGTAATAAACGAAAGTTTTTAATGTCATCAGAGAAGCAGAAATACAGGCAAATTTTAAATCCCTTGTCATAAATATAACTGAAGTGAAAGGAAAGGTATATGCATTTTGATAGTTACAAAGACAGCTCTTTAACACGGGTGGAACACGAACAAGGGGAACTTAGTACCCAAATGAGCCACAGAGATATTAGAAAGAATTTTTTCAGTGTCAGAGTAGTTAACAAATGGAATGTATTAAGCAGTGATGTGGTGGAGGCTGACTCCATACACAATTTCAAATGTAGATGTGATAGAGCCCAATAGGCTCAGGAACCTGTACACCTGTTGATTGACGGTTGAGAGTCGGGACCAAAGAACCAAAGCTCAACCCCTGCAAGCACAAATTAGGTGAGTACAACTAGGTGAATACAGCTGAGGGGCGGGACCAAACAGCTGAAGCTCAATTCCCTACGCATAACTAGGCGAGTCCATAGGAATTACCGTTTGTCCTGGCGCCATCTATGTTTTGACAGCAGTACTACTAATGTTCCCACGTTATGTGATGATCGCTATACGGGTGTTACGGTCAGTTGCTCTTCTATATATGTTTATGGACAACGTAGGTGATTTGAGGCAATTTGCGGCCAGAGTGAAATAGTATCCACGCGGTGAGTGATGGAGGAGGATATATACTGCTGTGTACTCGACCAGCGGGTGAGAGGTAAGTTATATCGAACAATTATGGGGAATAGATGGGTTATTTTAAGCGTAGAATGTCAGGTAACCGGTAACTACACAGATGGGGTAGTGTTTTTTTAAGTCTTTATTTACTAAAGTGGAACATTACATTATGCCTTTAGCTGAACAAGTCTACTGGTGGGGGAAGTAGACGGGTTTTATGAAAGTATTTTACCTAAATATTTGTATTTGGTTAACTAGTTCAGCCGTTACCAGGGAGGGTGTTCCTTTAATCTAATCTAAAAATTCTAGCCGGACAAAGTGATTAAATAAAGAAATTGAATAGAACGAAGTGGTTTGCCAGGGTGCTTAACATTTAGTTTAGTTCACTTACTATGCAGCCCATGCTTAAAGAATGCAAGTTTATCATATTGAATTTACCGTAGTTTTACTGCATTTAATATACCGTTTTTACCCTATTTAATTATGTCGGGTAAAGGCCGGTCGTGGAAAGTTCCTAATATAGCAAGTTTTAAAGGAAAAGTTTGAGTTAACTTTAACGCTTAAGTTAGTGACCAATTAGCTTAGTCTATTGTGAGGAAAGTTACTAGAATCTAACATTGCAAGTGCCATTTCTCTACTCTTTTTGAGAAACATGACTAGATACATGAATCGCATAGTTTTATTACTAAATGTTCATGGATTAGGTTGCATAGTTGAGGAAATGGTGATAAGGTTTGTGATTTTGTGTACCTTGACTTCAGCAGAGATTTTGATAGTGGCGCAAAATTGATAGGGGCTCGGATCATTGGGAATGCTGACTGAAGTTGATTAGGTCATGGCTATACCAAAGGAAATTAGTATAAATGGGGTTAAGTTGGGAGAAGTGTTGTAAGTAGTGCCTAAAAGCTCTCCTTGGACCTCGGTTATTCGCAAGATTATGGTTTAGACTGCAATAGTTGCAGAATTGGCAAATAAAAAATACCGATGCCCTATATAGTTTTGAAATGGTTAAGACTACCAGATGCAGTTTAATGCTGACAAATGTAAGGTTTGGGGGCTAGGTAAAGATGAGATAGATGGTGTAGATTGTTAAGAGTGTTAAATTTTTTGCAGGTGGTAAATTCTCCCCGAGCTGGCACTGCTCTCCAGCCTGGGATGTTGATTGGTTAGTCTTCAACTGCCTCCCAACATGGTAGTGAGGTCCTGAGCTGACATGCAGTGAGGAACGTGGAAAGCTTCCTGAATTGGCACATGGTATGCCTCCCTTTCAAACCAGCAGCTGGCACAAATGTTCCAGCTAACATCAGAATAGTGGATGAAGCCCACACTAAAATGTAAGTGGTACAGTAAATGGACACCCCCCCCCCTCCCTTTTGACACTGAACAGTTGGGAGGAAGGGGGGGGGGGGAGAAAGTGTGGCTTATAGTTCTATTGCTACAGAATCTTTTGCCATAAGCCAGTGGCAGTGCCTATTGGCACTTGCTATTCAGAATCTCCCCCTTACATAGTTAATTAAAAAAGAAATGCTGTAGACAAGCTTAACTTTTGAAGGGGCAACATTTTTGTTGCCATCAAAGCACATCAAAGATGCTCTGAGCTAACTTCCCCTAGTCATTAGTGAATGGTGGCTAGTAACTCTCTAGTAGGAACTATTCAATGTTTACTTTAGCTTGGTTTTAAATTTATATAGTTTTCCAGAATGTGGTTTGGAAAGTTCAAAAGTCCCTGTCAGTTGGAGGAGTTGCTTAAACAGAATCAGGTGAGTTGTAGTAAAGTTTAATCTGAATAGATTTGCATAAAAGTAAAAAAATAGTAATAACTTAAACAATATATCATTGGCTAAAGATAAATGTAAATTGCCATTGAAGTGCAGTTGTGGATAGTTATAATGACATTTACTGAAACTTGGCAAATTGATGCCATATATATTTATATTGCTAAATTAGATCTTTATTACTGCTACTAGAATATGTAAATTCCTTAAAAGAAATCTTTTCCATCTGAAGTTGTAAAGTACTGAATGCTAATTTGGAAAGTAAAGACAGATTGGCTTTAAATCTGAAATTAATTTGTTGAAATTTTTCAGGCGAGTGATTATGATTCATGGAGTGAGGCTCCTTTACTCTGCAAAAGGAAATCTACAAAAGTGGGTGAGTTTGATGTTTTAGCTATATCAATGACCTAATCTTAATTCTCTTATCTAGTCCATTTATAGGTGCGTAACCATGTCCTACTGTTACAACCCACAGGGGATGATGCAGTTTGTACTGATCCTACCCCATTTCATAAAAGGGGACCAGGCAGTCCTGCAGATTTCCCTGGCTTGGCTTTTTCAGAGCTTTGCTCTACTACCCATCTAATAGATGGACTAGATTTGCATAGGTTTAGGGACCCTTAACAATGGTTACATTGTTAATTCTCACAGGGCTTGTTTGCTGAATGGGTGGATGCATCTAAAACTTTAGTGCCTGGCATGCATTGTACAGTGCTTTCTGTAAAGCATATGTACAATGTGTTGGCACTGAAGTGGTGGATGTAATGTGCCCATTCAGGGAACAAGCTCTGCTCTAAATCAGAGGAAGGGATAGGCCTTGCTGAGCCTATCTTAAAAGATAGGCTGTTAGGATTTTTTGGGCTTATTATTAGGCATTGGTGATAATAAAAGTAGTGTCCCTGTTTAATGTTTATTTTTCTTTTACAGGTGATTGTCTCTGGAGTTGTCTTGGCCTTTTGGATCTTCTGTTCATCTAGGAGCATCTGTCCCACAACCTGAAACAGTAATAAATATTAGATGTATTATAAATACTATATGTAAAACTTATTAAATAAAAATTTTAATGAAACTACTTTATATACCTTATCCTGAAATTATGCTGGAAATTATTTACTACTATTGATGCAATGTTTAAACATCTGAAATTTTTTTACTTTGAAAATAAATACTTGGTAAAATTTACACCTATTTGTAACTTGTTACATAGGTGCATGCAAAATGCATTGAAAAGATGTAAAAGTGGACTACCTATTCAATTTACATAAACTAACAAATATTGCAAATTAGTCTGAAATATTAAAGTGGAAGAAACTTTAGTCAATATTTTAGTTTTCATATTTGAAAGTAAATTTAAAGCTATGCAACACCTAAGCTTTGTACAAATTATAATTAAATTAACTAAAGATCATTGTTAAATTTGCAAAACATTAGAAAAGTGACACTGAAGCATCTATACAACATGGTTTTCAAAGTCTTTGGTAACTTAAATTTAATCAAAGCTCTTAAATGATTTGTCTGCCAAACTTCAGATATTCTGAAATATTTTACCTAGATTAAAACAATCTGTTTGAAAGGGCAAAACAGATTACTGTCAATTAGTTTGACCTAACATCTGCAAGGTCCTGAAGGAATGGAAATTTTTTTTTTTAAACTTTTTTTGCTAGAAACACTCTGCCTAATGAACCTGCTCATTTTTTTTAGAAATGGTAATTGCAACATTACCAAAGGCCATTGTTTTAATAGCCAAAGTACCAAATGAAAGACCAAGAAGCAACAAACGGGTACATGGTAGAAACGACAAAAGAATGGTTACGAGGACCCTTTCATTTGTTAAAGAAATGACTGGGAAAAATGATGTCGTACCACAAGGGGTCTCAACCCTTGTCATGTCATATACATCTGACATTAATCTAAATATTACCAACCACAAAAATTGCTGATAACATGTTATAAAAAAAATAAAGAATATAATATTGAGGCCTTAATGCAGATCTCTAACTCTACAAATAGTAACGACTGGCAATTTCTTAATATAAAACAGAAAAAAATCCAAGACCTTGCACGTGAGCCAGAACAATCCATATCACAACTACCACATTAAAATGAAACAATGAAGGTAAGGTAATTACCAAAAGAAGGCACCAAAGTGCGAAATAATCAGAGGGCGCTAAATATCACCAAGAATGCCAATACGAGAACAAAAACGCATAGGGCGAACGATATCAAAAGTATCCGATTCACCTAGAATTCTATCGAGGGACGGTCGGAAAGCAAGACACACGCTTGTCCTGGAAGTCAGGACATTCAACAAGGATATGCACAACTGTAAGAGGGACAACGCAATTTGGACAATAAGGAGCAGGGCGGCGCTTCATTAAGTGACCGTGGGTTAAGCGGGTATGACCAACCCACAGCCGTGCCAAAGCAGTGTCCCACCGCCGGTTACGGTGGTAGGAGGAAGGCCACGGGGACACACTAAGTTTGAGAGTACGCAGCTTGTTACCAACCACAGAGGACCAACAACCCTGCCAACGGGGAAGAATGAATAACAGGATAAAAGTCGGAATAAGGAATACCTTTACGGGAGATGGGACAAGAACGGATAGCTTCCTTAGCGGCAGCATCCGCACGCTCATTGAAACACCAATATGGCTGGGAACCCAGCAAAACTCTACTGATTTAAATTTACTAGAAATAAGAAACAGCCAATGTTGAATCTCAATGACCACCGGATGGACAGGATTAAAGGACCCTAGAGCCATGAGGGCACTACGAGAATCAACTACAACCACAAAGGAGGAATGAGAATGAGAAAGCAAGAGACGAAGAGCATAGAGAATAGCATAAAGTTCTGCCGTAAAGACGCTAGCCTCCGAAGGGAGGCGACACATGTAAGTACGGTCAGGAAAAACAACAGAGTAGCCCACACCATCCGCAGACTTAGACCCATCAGGGAAGATGGAAATAGAGTGGGAGTGCGAAGAAAAGTGCTCAAGGAAGAGGCTTTTCAGAATTGTAGGAGGGGTAAAGGCTTTAGTAATACAAGTCAAGGACGTACAAAACTTGGGAAGGGGGACTCTCCACGGAGGTAATGAAGGAACAATACGAGGAGAAACATTAGAAATATGAACAGAAAGAGAATCCTGTAAGCGAGATAACTGGACAGAAAGTGGGAGACAATGAAGAGGAACAGGAACCACAGGAGGAGGAAAAGTCAATGCACGACAGAGGCGAGAGGAAGGATGTTGGAAGGACCGCGCAAGATAGCGAAGACAGTAGCGATCACGGCAGTCCTGAAGAGAGAGAAAGCCAGTGTCAACATACAAACTAAGGGCGGGAGTCGAACGAAAGGCACCAGAGCCGAGACGCAACCCAGTATGGTGCAAAGCATCAAGATGGCGAAGAGTAGAAGGAGAAGCAGAAGAGTATGCAGGGCAACCATAATTGAGTTTAGACAGGACGAGAGAGGAGTGCAAATAGAGGAGCGTGCGCCTATCCGCTCCCCAAGAAGTATGGGACAAAACCTTAAGGAGGTTAAGGGCCTTAGAGCATTCAACTCGGAGGCAAGAGATATGGGCTGACCAAGACAAACGAGTGTCAAAGACTAACCCCAAAAGCTTCGCGGAATCCCTGTACACAATGAGATGACCATAAAGCAACAACAATGAAGTAAAGGTCCTTTCAGTAAGAATCTATCATTCACTGAAAGTTGCTGCAGTTAAAAATAAAAGAAAATACAAGTCCCTAGAAATAAACAAGCAACCTTTTTGACTAAGGAAAAGAAGGTAGTTATTCTACTGTATAAATCTAAGTATTCACTTAGATAACTGTATCCAAGCATAGAGGTTCCCCCCCCCCCTTCCCTTTCAGAAAAACATCTACTTTCGAAAAAGTTTAACATTGGCCAACAAAAATGATTCCAGAACTAAATTGCCTAATACCAGGAACAACTGAGAGCCATGACAAACACTGCAACCCTCTCCTACCCCCAAGTCTTATGCTATTTATGATCCAAGGTAATTTGAGATACTATACTGGAATCACCCTCTCCTACGACGAGTCTAGTGAGAGGGTGATCTCCTGGTGATTAAATTGAAGCACGATACAGGTGTCAACGAACATCAGTCAGCCCACTTGTCAGCACAGTGGATAACTAATGACATCATAATCTGCAGTGTTGTATGCCTCCCTGTGGCCATTTAAATCAATAAAACACAGGGTTGTGGCAATGTTTACAGCATAAGGCAAGGTATAGAGGAATCCTGGAATGCCATGTAATGTGTAGTCCTTGAATGTGCTTTAGGCAACCAAATTGAATAACAACATTTCTGGTGTTCGGCTATATAATCCGACTTTCTCATTCGGTATAATGTTTTAAACCTAAATAGGAATTCACTTTAAAGGTCAATTTATTTGGAAAGTGCTAACCAGATTCCAAATTACTGAGCTCTGAAAGTACTACAAGGCAAGTTTAACCGAATGAGTGTTTGCCTATCCATACCCCCATGAGGTATGTGACAACACTGAATAAAGAAAGGGTCTTTGAGCATTCACCGTGCAGGTATTTGACATGACCAATATAGCCAAGTGTTAAAGATCATTCTAAGCAGTTCTGCACAATCCATATACTATCAATTAATATAATTGTACAATGGTGCTTGGTGGATGATATTTCCTATTAAAACTCATTGGACAACTGTTTGTATTAGACATTTTAAACCTACAAATGGTAGCCCTAGATATCGCACTACAGTATTAATTACAAGATGAACAATGTAAAATCAATACCACAACAGCAAAGGATGACGGCTTTTCAACAACCGACAAACACGCAGGTCTAACACCAGCCATCCCGAGAGAGGACGTCCCAAGCATGTACACCCCACAACTTTACATCACCTTTGCTACCTCACGCGAGCACGCAACAGCATGAGGATGCCATACTCCCAAACCAACTCCATGCACTTTGAGGCTTTAACAACTCAACATTTAAAAAGTTGATTTAAAAAATCAAACACCTGAATTTTTCCCTAATTAAATTTACTAGGGAAATGCACACCAAGCCATGAAACTTACAATGAAGATGAACAAACTACACACAACTGTCACCAAACTTCCACATACCACCCCCCTCTCACTCCTGCCCTCCCTCCTTAGGTGCTCTGATTGGCTGAGCACCTGAGCCACCACCACTCACCTCTTGTTGTGAGAGCCTAAAGCATGTTTGGTTGCACTTTAAAAGTTCCCGAGTGTACTCGCCTAATTGTGAGTACCGCCTGCCCGGTTCACCATTTTGTTTTTCAATCTACCTCAATTTACCCCTTTACAGTCAAATATTATGCAAAATTCTGTTTAAGACTTGTCCCTTCTTAACTTAAAT